TGCAGTGCTCAGGATACATGCATACAAAATATCCATGCACGTAAAATAAAAACAAATATATCAAAAATGTGGAGCCCCTGGTAAACAGCCCACACTCCAGTAGGCAACCATGCAGGCATGCATGGCTGCACAAATTAGAACTCATTTTTGATGAGCAGCAACGTGTTTTGTATCATTTCTTCCCTAAATGTGTAATATGGATACATTCAAAACCTAACAAACACATCTCCTGATTTTAAATGTTTGACACAGATGGTGTTATTTCTACTTACTGTTTAGTTTGTTGAGATTCTTGGATCTAAAACAAAAGTTATTTCACAAAATCTGATGGAAATTTCAGTCTACAGTTTTTCCAAGTAAGTTTTTTGCTCTAGTCTCTCATTTCTTCACAAGTCTCCTTTGTAAGTATGAAATCATGGTGTTATCCCACAAACCAGTTTCTTGCTGATTCTTTCAGTGTTTCCTCTTTTCGTTTCTTGTATTCAATAATAACTATATTTTATTAGTTCTTTATTATTGAATACAACTTAATCCAAAATTTACTGCTTTGAAGTCACAGTATTCATTTGTACAGAATTCCAAATAATCTCGAAGGATTAACTATCTCGTTTGAATTATTTTGACTCAGTCTCCCACGAATTTGTAGTAAGATGCTCACTGGGCCCGAAGTCACCCAAGGCTTGATTTGAGTTCAGGATCTACTCCCGTGGTAGCTCACTTGCTTAGCTAGAGAGTCGGGTTCTCTTTCTAGGAGCTTGCATGTGTCTGCCTGAGTGTCCTTTCTTCAGAACGAGCACATAAAGGAAGGAAGACATCATCTGCTCTGCCTTTATGACCTGCACGTCCATCATGTTCTGTTTTTCACCTGGACCAGCCATGGTTCAGCGTGGGAGGGGAGCTCAGGCTTGACTATGCGGAGGTGAAGTTTACTAAGCTCTGTCTTAGGCATTGATAATCGCTGACGGGAAGTTCACCAGCCCTGCTTTCTGTCAACTGCAGTCTTCCCGAGCCCTTTGAATTTCTAAAATTCAGATAATTTATATTGGTCCTAAAATCTCCGGTAATCCTTTTGAGTATTTTTTTAGTTCTCTGGTAGGAATCCCATCCCGTCCCCTGCTTGCCAGCATTATTCTCATTATCCTACTCTCTCTTTTAATCATTTAAACACTTATATTTTCTGTTTTAAATATTTCTTCATCAGTATCAAGTGATGAATCATCTTGGAATTAGTTTGTGTAATTTTACTATCAGCCCCAATTCATGTTTCCTTATCATTTTATCTGTCTAGCAATTTTTAAAATTATATGCTAGATGTTATCAAGAATTAGCTGAAGAGATTCAAATTGTTCTACTTCTCATACAAACTTATTTCTTAATTCTGTCACTCAAACACACATTTAAATTAGTTTAACTTTTTAAAAAATTATTTACTTTGTGTGTATGGCCTGCATGCCCATCTGTTTGAGGGCGTCAGGTCTCTTGGAACTGGAGTTACAGTTGTGAGCTGCCACGTGAGTGCTGGGAATTAAACCTGGGTCCTCTGGAAGAGCAGCCAATGCTGTTAACCACTGAGCCATCTCTCCAGCCCAGTGTCATGTAACTCACACTTCAAACCATGCACCTTTCCCCTTTGCTCTTTACCCTTCTGGTTATCCTCCCCACCCCCCCCCCCCCCCCCGGTATTATTGAAAGCCAGCACACATTTCCACAGCTTAAGAAATTGGCACAGATTGTGTATGGACTGTAAATTTCCCCATGTGGTTCATATTTTTTTCTGCAAATTTCTTCTCAGTTTCTACTGCCCTGCTAGTGCAGAAATGTCTGTTGTCTGATACATAAAGATATGAAGACTGAAACTCGCTCAAAAACATTTCTTTTTCTGTGGGTGACACAATTCTCATTTCATCCCAACTCTGTTGCTACTCTGGACATCTTAATAGCTGCTATATGTAGACCAGGAAATATGAATTTTATATACAGGAGACTTGTACAACCTACTTTGCCATTATCAGAATGAGAAATCGTTCGTTTGTGCGTTAGAATGGACAGTTTAATTATCTATTAAACAGCTCCTTTGATAGCTGAGGTTGAGGAAGCTGTTCAGTGGTGGAGGACTCACAGAAATCATAAGGAATGGCCCTGTGGCTCAGTGCCAGGGCACTGCCTCCCGTGTGCAAGGCCCTCACTTTGATTTCTCATACTGAAAGAGAGCAGAAGGCAGTCTGTTTTGTTGGCAAACCCAGCTACTGGTCCATGTAGTTCTCAGTGACCTTTGGTTGTTCTATTTTCCCTTGAAGAATCGTCCAGTCTCCGTGTGGATGGGGATAGGAAATACATAAGATAAGAATTTGTCAGCATCTTATGAGAGTACAGGTGTATGCACTGGATTGCTGATTTCCCAGAATTCCACTTAATTTCCATTTTGAATATGGAATCAGTTGCATCATCTGACCTAAAACAAAATTTATCCTTGCTCAATATTCACAGAATCATATCTGCTGTTTTCTTTTAGGCTTTGGGGATGGTGTGTTTGGAATGGCTAGGCATGTCAGGGCCATAGGATGCCTTTAAACATATCAGTCCAATATCTTCTGTTTCCTGCTCCAAAGCATTTCTTTATCTCCTGTGGTTAAGAATCGGATTTTTCTCATGAACTTTTCCTCCTCCATGTCTGGATTTCAAGTCTTCCAAATCTGAGTCTATTACTGTTTGTCCATATGTTCAACAGTAGATCGTTTGATTTATTTATATTTCCATCTCTTTTCATTTTAGTCAAGACTTAGAAAAAATGATAAATTTCACGTATTTAATCTTTGTTTCACCTGCTTCAAAATAACCCTATTTTATATTCATCTGTTTAAAATGAAAAAGGAAGCTTCACGGATCAAGCAAAATACATCACCTCCCCACTGCCTTCCACAAAGCATACATGCCGAGACTTCCAGTGGATGCCTGAAACTACAGGTAGCTCTGAATTCGGCACAAACGCTGCCCTGTCCAACACCACACTGTTGATCTATGGTGAGGGTAGTACACAGTGGGAGGAATCGCTGGGCAAAAGAGTGACTCATATATTGGGTAGACCAGTGTAGGACAGCAGAGTTCATCATTCTGCCCAGTGCAGCAGGGAATTCAGAATGTGAGAACTGCTCATTTCTGGAATTTTCCATCTAATATTTTCACACTTCGGTTTACTGCAGGTTGTTAGAAACACAGGCAGTGAAGCTGAAAATGAGGGGATAATGATATGCTCTTGTCAAACTTTTCATTTGTTGAATTTTTCCCCCCCGGAAGTCATTTGTGAAGAGAAGTCAAATGACTAAACTCGTGACAAATGTAAATGTCATTTCCACGATCACCTCTGTACTACACATAGGCTCTTTCTCCAACCATTGCTTTCAAAAATGCAGGGCAGGAACAGGCTGACCATATCTTGGATGTAGTGTGCTTGCTTTGGGTCCATATTGTAAACTAGTTGACGGCAGACAAGCGTTTCCAGCCACTGCTGCCTCTGAGGACCTTGTCTCTAAGAGCTGTGAGTACCACTGGTCTAGCGACAAGGTCATGTCTTTGTTTCCACTGCCATGGCCAGCTAAGGCAAACGATGAGAGAAGCGGAATTTAGACACTAGTATCTTTGTTTTAGCTTGTAGATTAGTGAGTCAGGGCGGTTTTGGTTTCTCACCAAGTCACCCCGCGTACACTGGATCTTGAATGAAACTTTCATATTTTTGTTACTTGTAGAGCATAGCATTTTGAATATTTGCGTGCCATCATCACCTCCATGGAAGAGTTCTGCACTGAGTTTTCATTTCCTATTAACTAGGGCAAACATTCCTATTAGAATTGACTGTATTGTTTTGGTGGTGGGATTTCACCAGTATGTAAGTACTATCTCAACAAATTCGAGGGAAATATTGGAACATATTTGTGACTGATGCTTTTAGGAGTGGAGACTTGCTGAGAAGAGTTTAGTATATGTCGGAGAAAAGGTAGATAAAAAAAATCCCTAATATCTCTGTAGTATCAAATGGCCTGGGAGCCGTTTAGCTGGAAATCAGATGTGGGAGTAATTATTGCACACACACATTACAATGTTACAACTAATTGTTGTTTATCTTTGTTGAAATCTGAGACGAAATAAAGCCCTAAGGTATCTATTCAACCAGTACTTAAAATCGCCATGGCAGATGATGGATGGACATTAGAATGCTTATGATGGGGTACAGCTCACGGGAAGAAAAAAGCTCTTAACTGTAGCAACCTTCTCCGTCAAGAATGGTGACAGGTCCTGCCTTAAGGCAGGTTCGCCTGCTTGGCTTCTTGGGAGCCTTTCTTTGAGCCGTTTCAGCTGCTGGCCTTCAGATGCTGAAATTGAACTAGACACAGTAAAGTGTGTGCTCTTTTAGAAGCTCCAGCACAGCTAGAGGCGACAACGCCACTAGCAGCGATGACAAATTGAAGACTTCACTCAAAGGTGAATCAGGTCAGCATGGACCTAGGCCCATCCCTCTCCAGTGTGCACAGAAATGAGCACCGAGTTCCAGCAGGGAAGGCCTGCCAGGAGCTGACAACCACAGGACCCCCTCCTCTATCATCCACATAAGCTCTGACATAGGGACCAGTAAGGGGTGGCTGGTTAGCTGGTGCAAGGTGGAAGGGACTCGCCCGCTTCGAGCCACGCTCCTGGAAACATGAGTTTCTCCAACAATGACCAGGTTCCTTTCTCACCATGCACTTGGTGGCCTCCACACCGGGTGCTCGCCTCCGACAGAGCGGTCTCTTTCCTGGCTGCGGGCTCTTGCCGGAGGGCGTAAAGGAAAAACGCTCATTCGCACGCTCGGGGTCCTAGTGTCTTCCCCGCAAGCTCCTGTTTTTGCAAACGCGATAGGTGGCCGGCGGCTGCCACAGCCTGAGAGAGCAGCACAGGGAGGGGGCTGGCAGGGAGGGAGGCGCGGAGGTGGGGCGGCGGGAGTGAGGGGGAGGGCGCCAGAGCTCTGCGGCGCCCTGCTTGGTCTCTGCCGGCTGGCGGTGGCTCCGGGTTCCCCTGCGCTGGTGCTCACCGTCTCAGTCTCTCCGCCCGCACTCGCTCCCGCTCCCGAGCGCGGAGGCGAGCCGTAGCCCGGCGCGGCGGTGGGCGTGTGCGCGCTGAAGGACGCCTCCTCTCGCTCCCGTGTTGCAGGCGGCGGCTGGCGGCTCCGGCTCGGGCAGCAGCGGCGGCTTCCGGAGTCCCGCGGCGAAGATGCTGAAAGTCACGGTGCCCTCCTGTTCCTCGTCCTGCTCCTCGGTCACCGCCAATGCCCCAGGGTCTGGGAACCTCGTCCCGGATTACTGGATCGACGGCTCCAACCGGGATGCTCTGAGCAATTTCTTCGAGGTGGAGTCAGAGCTGGGACGGTAAGACGAGGGGCGCTGGACCAGGCGGAGCGTGGAGGCGCGGGCTGGGGCTGGGGATTGCCTGCAGCGTGCACGCTAGTGGTCCCTCTCGCTGCGACACCTAAGGGTTCCGGACTAGCCTCCTCTACCTTTGATCTCTCCCCTGCCTAGACAGTATCTGGGCAAGAGCTAAACTCTAGTCCGAGGCAACCAGGCTCTCCCCTGAGCGCCTAGGCCGGTGCAGCTGCGAGCCTCCGCCAGACTCTCCCGCCCTGCCAGTGTGGAACTGGCTGCCACTTGGGTGATCTCTCCTACCGCACGTGGACTCTGCTTTCCTAATTAGTGTCTTTGCACAGATTATAGTTTGTCAGAGGGACTTGTGTGTCTAGTTAGTTTTGGGTTGGGGACTGCAATTGTGCCCCTCTCCACCGTGATGGAATTATTAAATTAGATTCTTCCTGCTTCCCCTCATCACGCTCTCCAAAGCAAGTGGCACTAGAAATTTAACCTAAATACTAGCTTCCCCATAGCGTGTGCTCAGGAAAAGGCGAGAATGAATCATTTAGAAGAGTTAAAGGCAGAGTAATGAAGTAGTGGGGATTTAAAGAGAAAGCAACTCTTGGGGGCCAGGCAGGGGTAATTAGTGAGAAGAGCTTTGAGGCTCCTCTTTTATGTGCTCGAGTGGTTTATTTAAATCGTGTATGCAAAAAGCCATCCCGTTGGGAGAGCAGATGCGCCCCCTAATCCCCACTCTGAAGATCTGAACAGGTTTTACCTTGAGATTGATTCCGTGTGTTCTCAGATCTTTACCCACTGATAATTATTTTTGTATCTCCCCCCCCCACCCTTTTCTGCTGTCCACAAGCACGGAAGGAGACTTGTTTTCAGTACTGTTCAAATGCAAAGCGTCCATCGGAGGGAATCTGAACACGATTGAAAACTGTTGCCAAGTTGTAACTCCTCCCCCCCCCCCCGTGCAATTTAATCATTCCCCTTTTGCTGGTAGTAGCTTATCTAACAGCTTTTTAATTTTAATTTTTTGATGCTGTTAAGAGACGATGTCATTGGATTTTGGGTGTTCGTACTTAGTGGGAAGGATTTGCTCGCTCTGATTTTCCTTTCCTGAATACAAGTGGTGTGTAAAAAGATAAAACTTTTGAAAGGGAATTTGTTATTCTTGCTGTTTAAAATCCTCAAGCTATTTGATCACTGAGCAATGTATACGTCCACGCCTGTTTTTCAGACATGTTTCTGGGGGGGGGGATTCATTGCAAGGCTGTTGTAGACTGAAGTGAGGTAGCAACGGATGCTTTTGTAAGGTTCAGGAAATCATACTTGGGTGACGTGCTGAGCATTGTGGTATAGAATTGATTAAAGAGATAATCTACTTAAAATTGGTTCCTCAGTGCTTTAGAAGTTGCCAGGTAGGGAGGAAGTGCCTGCTGCAGCTGAGGGATGGCCCCACAGCGCCCCTGAGCAACGCCCCAGAAGCCCCTAACGAGTTCCGACGTACTAATTGCACTATAAAGAAGCTTTGCCATCACTTCAAACACTTTGATTTGAGAAGTGGGAGAATTCCGAGTGTACGTGTCCATAGGATGGTGGATTCACAGGGAAGCTGTTTTTGAAGTTGGCTTGGTTTTAATTTGGCCCTACAGTCTGCATTCTCTTGGGGTTATACTTATAAATCTACTATAAATTGCTAAGACTTGCCCTGCTATGTAGACTTTTTGTTACCCTACAATCACCAAATTAAACTATTCTAAGAAGAAAAACATAACCCTTCATAACCATTGCTGAACACCTCCTCTGTAGGTGGCAGTGTTGATGAGTAGTGAGCTCGCACCATTTCGTTAAAATGGATCGATATTTTTTTTTACTTCATAATCTGTTATTTTTTCTCAATGAGATAAACCTAACACATGGACCAACTGGCATGCCAGCTATAATTGTTAAAACTCTATGGAGTAAAAGACAGAACTTTTGTACTCACTGATGGAACCACAAAGATGTTTGGTCTTTGCACTAGTGATCCATTCGAGCTCACTTGAATTGATCTCAAGATTGTTCGTTCTGTTTTGGGTCAAATCTGGGGGCCAGTGTTGACCCTACAGTCAGCTTGATTCTTTCGTTCCCACTTGTTACTGTGACATTCAGTCAGCAGCATTCTGGTGCTGGGTGGGCCACTGGTTAGTGTCACAGTGTAGACAGTCCCCTGTAGGTGAATGGGTTCAGTATACACACGCCCCTGCAGGTAAATTGGAGATTTTTTTTTTTTTTTGTTTCATCTCCTAAAGTGATCTGTTATAAAGTGGTGACTCCCGATTCCAGGAAAGTTAGATTCAAGGCCATATGGACCATATACCCTGAGCGTGTGCCTGGAGGGTCAAGTGGAGCTAAATTCCTGAAGCCCCTGAGCCAGTGGTTCTCAACCTTTGGAAGGCTGCAACCCTTTAATACAGTTCGTTATGTTGTGGTGACCCCCACCATAAAATTATTTTCTTTTTTTTTTTTTTTTTTTTTTTTTCTTTTTTTTTTTTTTAAATTTATTTATTTATTAAGGATTTCTGCCTCGTCCCCACAACCGCTTCCCATTTCCCTCCCCCTCCCCCGATCAATTCCCCCTCCCTCATCTGCTCGAAGAGCAATCAGGGTTCCCTGACCTGTGGGAAGCCCAAGGACTGCCCACCTCTATCCAGGTCTCGTAAGGTGAGCATCCAAACTGCCTAGGCTCCCACAAAGCCAGTACGTGCAGTAGGATCAAAAACCCACTTCAATTGTTCTTGAATTCTCAGTATTCCTCATTGTCCGCTATGTTCAGCTAGTCCGGATTTATCCCATGTTTTTTCAGACCTAGGCCAGCTGGCCTTGGTGAGATCCCAGTAGAACATCCCCATTGTCTTAGTGTGTGGGTGCACCCCTCGTGGTCCTGAGTTCCTTGCTCGTGCTCCGTCTCCTTCTGCTCCTGATTTGGACCTTGAGATTTCTGTCCGGTGCTCCCGTGTGGGTCTCTGTCTCTGTCTCCTTTCATCGCCTGATGAAGGTTAATATTCCTGAGGATGCCTATGTGTTTGTCTTTGGATTCACCTTCTTATTTAGCTTCTCTAGGAACATGAATTATAAGCTCAATGTCCTTTATTTATGGCTAGAAACCAAATATGAGTGAGTACATCCCATGTTCCTCTTTTTGGGTCTGGCTTACCTCACTCAGGATAGTGTTTTCTATTTCCATCCATTTGTATGCAAAACTCAAGAAGTCCTTGTTTTTTACTGCTGAGTAATACTCTAATATGTATATATTCCATACTTTCTTCATCCATTCTTCCGTTGAAGGGCATCTAGGTTGTTTCCAGGTTCTGGCTATTACAAACAATGCTGCCATGAACATAGTTGAGCATATACTTTTGTTGTATGATAGGGCCTCTCTTGGGTATATTCCCAAGAGTGGTATTGCTGGATCCAGGGGTAGGTTGATCCCGAATTTCCTGAGAAACCGAAACACTGCTTTCCAGAGTGGTTGCACAAGTTTGCATTCCCACCAGCAATGGGTGAGTGTACCCCTTTCTCCACAACCTCTCCAGCAAAGGCTATCATTGGTGTTTTTTATTTTCGCCATTCTGACAGGTGTAAGGTGGTATCTTAAAGTTGTCTTGATTTGCATTTCCCTGATCGCTAAGGAAGTTGAGCATGACCTTAAGTGTCTTTTGGCCATTTGAAGTTCTTCTGTTGAGAATTCTCTGTTCAGATCAGTGCCCCACTTTATAATTGGGTTGATTAGCCTTTTACGGTCTAGTTTCTTGAGTTCTTTATATATTTTGGAGATCAAACCTTTGTCAGTAGCAGGGTTGGTGAAGATCTTCTCCCAGTCAGTGGGTTGTCTTTTTGTCTTAGTGACAGTGTCCTTTGCTTTACAGAAGCTTCTCAGCCTCAGGGAGTCCCATTTATTCAATGATGCCCTTAGTGTCTGTGCTGCTGGGGTTATACATAGGAAGTGGTCTCCTGTGCCCATGTGCTGTAGAGTACTTCCCACTTTCTCTTCTATCAGGTTCAGTGTGTTCGGACTGATATTGAGGTCTTTAATCCATTTGGATTTGAGTTTTGTGCATGGTGATAGATATGGATCTATTTTCATTCTTCTACAGATTGACATCCAGTTTTGCCAGCACCATTTGTTGAAGATGCTCTCTTTTTTCCATTGTATACTTTTAGCTCCTTTATCGAAGATCAGGTGTTCATAGGTTTGTGGGTTAATGTCAGGGTCTTCTATTCGATTCCATTGGTCGACTTCTCTGTTTTTATGCCAATACCAAGCTGTTTTCAATACTGTAGCTCTGTAATAGAGTTTGAAGTCAGGGATGGTAATGCCTCCAGACAATCCTTTATTGTATAAGATTGTTTTGGCTATCCTGGGTTTTTTGTTTTTCCATATAAAGTTGATTATTGTCTTCTCCAGATCTGTGAAGAATTTTGATGGGATTTTGATGGGGATTGCATTGAATCTATAGATTGCTTTTGGTAGAATTGCCATTTTTACTATGTTGATCCTCCCAATCCAAGAGCAAGGGAGGTCTTTCCATTTTCTGGTGTCTTCTTCAATTTCTTTCTTCAAAGACTTATAGTTCTTGTCAAGTAGATCTTTCACTTCCTTGGTCAGGGTTACCCCAAGGTATTTTATGCTATTTGTGGCTATCGTGAAAGGTGATGCTTCTCTGATTTCCCTCTCTGCTTCCTTATCCTTAGTGTATAGGAAGGCAACTGATTTTTTGGAGTTGATCTTGTATCCTGCCACATTACTAAAGCTGTTTATCAGCTGTAGGAGTTCTTTGGTAGAATTTTTGGGGTCGCTTATGTACACTATCATATCATCTGCAAATAACGAAAGCTTAACTTCTTCCTTTCCAATACGAATCCCCTTGATCTCCTTATGTTGTCTTATTGCTATTGCTAGAATTTCAAGCACTATATTGAAGAGGTATGGAGAGAGTGGACATCCTTGTCGTGTTCCTGATTTAAGTGGGATG